CGTGCTGGCTGTCGTTGATAAGCTCATTCCTTTCTAGGTGCTCTTCCACTGATCCCCTGATAATCTTCTCCATGACTTTGCATACTATACATGTCAGTGACATTGGTCTGTAGTTTAATGCTTCGTGTCTGTCTCCTTTTTTAAAAACTGGAATTGCATTTGCTGTCTTCCATACCTCAGGTAGTCGCCCTCTTTCGAAAGGTATGTTGAAGATTGCTGTTAGTGGTACACATAGCACCTCTGCTCCCTCTATCATGACCCATGGAGAAGTGTTATCCGGCCCCATCGCCTATGAGGTATCTTTGAGATGTGTGTACTCACCTAATTGTATTCACCTAATTGTGGTTGCAGGGGTCGAGACTCAGCTCCTGGCTCTGACTCTTCACTGGTCGCTACTAGGTCCTCTCTCTCCTTGCTCCATGAGCTTTATCATACATCGTCTTAAAACTATGTATAGTTCCTTCCTCCACTACATCACTTCCAGACACCTCTACGACTAAAGAAATACTTCCTAACATCTCTTTGTGTGTGTGTGTGTGTGTGTGTGTGCTCACCTAGTTGTACTCACCTAGTTGAGGTTGCAGGGGTCGAGTCCAAGCTCCTGGCCCCGCCTCTTCACTGGTAGCTACTAGGTCACTCTCCCTGAACCTCTGCTTAAAGCTATGTATGGATCCTGTCTCCACTACATCGCTTCCCAAACTATTCCACTTACTGACTACTCTGTGGCTGAAGAAATATTTCCTAACATCCCTGTGATTCATCTGTGTCTTCACCTTCCAACTGTGTCCCCTTGTTGCTGTGTCCCATCTCTGGAACATCCTGTCTTTGTCCACCTTGTCAATTCCTCTTAGTATTTTGTATGTCGTTATCATGTCCCCCCTATCTCTCCTGTCCTCAGTGTCGTCAGGTTGATTTCCCTTAACCTCTCCTCGTAGGACATACCTCTTAGCTCTGGAACTAGTCTTGTTGCAAACCTTTGCACTTTCTCTAGTTTCTCTACATGCTTGGCTAGGTGTGGGTTCCAAACTGGTGCCGCATACTCCAATATGGACCTAACGTAGACGGTGTACAGGGTCCTGAACGGAATGCTGTTCTGAGGTTTGCTAGGCGCCCATATGCTGCAGGAGTTATTTGGTTGATGTGCGCTTCAGGAGATGTGCCTGGTGTTATACTCACCCCAAGATCTTTTTTCTTGAGTGAGGTTTGTAGTCTCTGGCCCCCTAGACTGTATTCCGTCTGCGGTCTTCTTTGCCCTTCCCCAATCTTCATGACTTTGCACTTGGTGGGATTGAACTCCAGGAGCCAGTTGCTGGACCAGGTCTGCAGCCTGTCCAGATCCCTTTGTAGTTCTGCCTGGTCTTCGATCGAATGAATTCTTCTCATCAACTTCACGTCATCTGCAAACAGGGACACTTTGGAGTCTATTCCTTCCGTCATGTTGTTCACAAATACCAGAAACAGCACTGGTTCTAGGACTGACCCCTGTGGGACCCCGCTGGTGACAGGTGCCCACTCTGACACCTCGCCACGTACCATGACTCGCTGCTGTCTTCCTGACAAGTATTCCCTGATCCATTGTAGTGCCTTCCCTGTTATCCCTGCTTGGTCCTCCAGTTTTTGCACTAATCTCTTGTGTGGAACTGTGTCAAACGCCTTCTTGCAGTCCAAGAAAATGCAATCCACCCACCCCTCTCTCTCTTGTCTTACTGCTGTCACCATGTCATAGAACTTCAGTAGGTTTGTGACACAGGATTTCCCGTCCCTGAAACCATGTTGGCTGCTGTTGATGAGATCATTCCTTTCTAAGAAGGTGTTCCACCACTCTTCTCCTGATAATCTTCTCCATGACTTTGCATACCATACATGTCAGTGACACTCCTCCCATTGCCTCTCCCTCTGTGACTCTGGTTCCTGTGTGTACGTGGTCATTTTCTCCCTTGTTTTTTCCAGTGGCTCATGGTAGCATGGTTGTGCCTCTGCATTTGACCTGTCACCCTCTCCACCTGCACCCAGCTGCTCTCCCCTTTCACTCCTTGGCCCTTCTTGGCAGGTTGATATGACCTTAGCATAATTCATATCTCCTTCCTTCCTGTTCGGCCTCTCAGCTTCATATGCTGTGTCTTCTCTGGTCAATGTCCCTGTAACTTGCTTCAGCCTGTTTACCTCGTCTTCTAGGACCCTTATCCTGGTTACTGCAGTTTCGACTTGTGCCTCCCAATTCTTCTTCTTCTCCAACCTCTTTTCTAATTTCACAGAAAGCTGTCTCCATTTTTTCAGAAAGCTCTCCTAATTTTCTCTCCTACTCTTGTTCCATCCTTTTCCACTGCTCCTCCATCCACTCCTTCCTACCAGAACCATTCTCATCAGATCCCTGGTGTGTGTGTGTGTGTGTGTGTGTGTGTGTGTGTGTGTGGATGCGTAAGTACGTATCCACTCGTGTACGTGCTCATCCACGTACACGTCGCTCGTAAGAACTTACACTCCGTGTTGTTCCAGGAGTTCCGTGAATACGTGAGGAATTCAAGGCGGCGAGAAGCTCAAGGCTGCCAGGGATAAGGAGTGGAGGGGGATGGGAAGAAGAGAAGCGGGGGGTAATGGGGGAAGGCGATGAGGGAGAATGAGGAGACGAACAAAGGAAGAGGTCTTCCCCCTCCCTGTCCACGCTCTCCCACCCTCCTTCTCCTCCCCAAGGAACAAAATTTCAATTTGGCTGCGTACATCGTTAATCAGAAGGTTGCTAATACCTGTTGCAAGGTATTCCAGGTATCCCCGTGTTGCAGGTTATCACTCAACAGCTATTATACCTCACGTAGTGCAACCTGCTTCCCTCCCAGCCATGGTAGAGCAAGTGTTTGGTGGGGTGGGGAAGGCGGAGGGTTGAGGAGGTGGGGAGAGAGATAGAGGAAGGGGAGGTGGGGGGGAGGGTGAAAGGGCTTATATAATAACGAGTTTGTATACAAACTCAACATCCAGCCTGTTATTGTTTTGTTTTTCCCCTCAAAACTGAGAGGTAAAGCGCACCATTACCATTACTATATTTCCATTTTTTCCTTTCGTCTCCACTGTCCAAGAAATTGCTACTTTTTACTTTATCTGCGCAGGAAAGAATTACGAAGAAATTACAAGTTTTAAATTATCCTTAACTCATGGCAACTTACGTTTCCCATTTTCCCTTAACGCATGGTAACTTACGTTTCCCATTTTCCCTTAACACATGGCAACTTACGTTTCCCATTTTCCCTTAACTCATGGCAACTTACGTTTCCCATTTTCCCTTAACACATGGCAACTTACGTTTCCCATTTTCCTTAACTCACGGCAACTATTTCATTTTCCTTATATGCAAATTTACGTATTCCCTTTTTTTTGTAAGTTCTCACGATTGACTAATATTTATATATCATAAAATATAGAAAAATAGAATAATGGTTGTTGTTGTGTGTTGTGTTGATGTGTATGTTATTTTATGTTGTTTGTAGTGTGTGTGGTTACTATATGTGTTAAGGGTAGTCATAGCTCTAGGTGATAAATTATCATTTAATTAGTTGACTGAGATATATCAATATATTTTGTGTTTATATATTCTCAGTGTAAAAACTCAAATATATATGTTAATCAAGTACTATGGACTATTATTTTTTTGATGTTGATGTCCAATATTAATTGCGAGTGTTTTTACCAAGGTAGAATAATATGCAGTGTTGATTCTGCAGCTGACCATGATGTTGTACATGTGGTCGATCACTGTTTTGCCACTGTGTTGAATTTGTTGACACTGCAGCTTACCTACTGTTGTGACACTGTTGTTGACCACTCAGATGTCATGTTGTGTTGACCACTGCAATGTCCTCATGTGTTGACCACTGCAACTGACCACTTGTTACACTGCAGACTGACACTGATGTTGACCATGTTGTTGCATGTTGTTGACAACTGTTGTTGACCAAGAGACTGACATGTTTTGACACTGTTTTACCATGCAGAATGAATCATGTTGTTCACTGCAGACTGTCCACTGTTGTTGACCACTGCAGACTGACCACTGTTGTTGACCACTGCAGACTGACCACTGATGTTGACCACTGTTGTTGACCACTGATGTTGACCACTGTTGTTGACCACTGTTGTTGACCACTGCAGACTGACCACTGTTGTTGACCACTGCAGACTGTCCACTGTTGTTGACCACTGTGACTGACCACTGTTGTTGACAACTGCAGACTGACCACTGATGTTGACCACTGTTGTTGACCACTGATGTTGACAACTGTTGATGACCACTGATGTTGACCACTGTTGTTGACCACTGTTGTTGACAACTGCAGACTGACCACTGTTGTTGCGTCTTTTGTTGGAGTCTTTGTGCTAACGAGTTTTGTGGCAAATTTTCCGTATGGGATTTTGTATTTTGTGGCCATCACTGCATTCATTGTTGATCTTCGTAATAGTATTGTTGTTGATTTTCGCTGTTGTTGCTGTTTTGTTGTTGTTTGTAGCTGTGGTTGCTGCTCTTCTCCACAATGTTTTTTTTTTCCTTGCTGTTTTACGTTGGTTTCGTTGTTGTCTCTTTAGTTTCGTTGCTGTTTTCGTTAGTTTTGTTATTGTTTTTACTCTTCTTGTTATTTGTGTTATTGTTATCGCTGTTGTTACTACATGTTGTTGGCATTGCTGTTATTACTGCGATTGTTCTTATTTCTGTTGTTACTGACAAAGTTGTTATCGCTGTTTCTGCTATTGTCGCTGCTGTTATTTTTGCTATTAGTCATTGTTTTCATTACCATTTCAATTGCATTAATAGGTAAGAACCTGAGATTAGCGAGATAGGGAAAAAGCGTGGAAGAGAAATGGGTCCTTACCTCGCTTGTCTCAGGTCCTCACCTCTTCAAGAGGTAAGAGCGTGAGACTAGCGAGGAAGGGAACAGAGAGCAATCCCCCCTTTTCTCATTATTTAAGAGCACCAGACTAGCTAGGAGGGGGAGACAAGGATAAAACACAAACAATTCTGTCAGGTGTTCATTGGAGCATTTATTACACAATTCAATCAAAAACAGACGAGGCTGGAAGGGTCCAGTTGGAGTATCTTGCGTGTCGGAGCTTCCAAGCTGCAGCCAGTAAGGGAATGTATGTACAGTATTCACAGGGTCCGAGGGAAGGAACTGGAGGGCCAGGGGAGTGGAGAGGAGACGAATTGGGAGGGGAGAGTTTAGTTGGTGAGGGGGATAAGGGTGAGACGTTGGGACAGGAGGGAAATTAGAGAGATAGGATTGGGAGAGAGGCGTGGTAGAGGGAGGACGATAGAAAATTCACATTGGTGTATAAAAAATATTGAAAGAAACACTGGAAACAGTTTTATCATCACTTGGTCGTTCAGCAATGGAGCTGAAGACCCGTGGGTGATGTTACCAGTGTTGGAGAGAGTGGGCGAGTGTTGGTGGGTTAGAGGGTGGGTGGGAAGGGGAAGGGGTGGAGGACTTGTGTGGAGTAGGAGGGAAGGAACTAAGAGAATGCGTGAAGGTGTGGGTTGGTGTGCATATGTGTGTAGGGGAACACTTGGGCTAGTATGAATGTGTGTAAGGGTTCATGTTTTGGGTATTCAGGTGTGTTTTAGAACAGGTTTGGGAATCAGGTGTGGTTGCCGGGGAATGGTTGGTAGTATCGTCGGGGTCAGATGTGTTGAGAGGCGTCACTAATCGTCCTCAGAACGAGCCTAAGAGCGTACGAATTTTACGCTTGGACGGTATCCATTCTCGTCAGCTTCGTAGACAACCTCCAAGTGCTGACCATTACCCAGGGGGAACCTGCACGATTATTATTATTATTATTATTATTATTATTATTATTATTATTATTATTATTATTATTATTATTATTATTATTATTATTATTATTATTATTATTATTATTATTATTATTATTACCACTGATGTAATCGTAAGTAAAAGGGAAGCGCATAACCCGTAGAGATTATTCAGCGCTTGGGGATTGGAAAGCAGGTTTGATCCGAGGAAAGGATAGATCCAACTCCTTTGATAAAGAGCCCTTCAGTGGCGTCAAGGGTGGACGAGGAGAGGTATGCATCACCTTCAAGCAGTCAGGTGGTCAGGTGAGGGAGATGGAACCTCGTGGGTGAGAGGAATAATCAGGTAGATATTTCAGGTGAGGTGGGCTGGTGAAATAGGTGAGGTGAGCAGGTGCAGTAGATAGGTGAGGTGAGCAGGTGAAATGGGTATGCCATGTGTATAGGTGAGGTGTGAGGGGGAGATGGACAGGGGAGGTGAACAGGTGAGGCAGGCAGGAGAGGTGAACAGGTATACTGGGCACAATAGGTGAACAGGGAAAGGTGAGGGAGGGAGGGAGAGAAGGAGGCAGTGAGAGTGCCACATTCCTGGCACTCCCCCAACCATCCTTCTGTCATAATCACCATGTTTTATGACCTTCACGTGAGCCAGGTGAAGGGCCAGAAGTGAAAGGCCAGAACGAAAGCTATCATTTCAGTCAAGAATAATTAAAACATACTAAAAAAAAAGAATATTGATATTTATACATGATACTTCTTTGGATAACTTTCAACAGTTCCTCTAGCACGAACTTACAAAAATAAAAATTGAAACTTCGTTTACAGATATATACTGTTCTCAGTGAAAACAAATCTATCGTCGACCAATATCAGAAAAATGCGATAAAATATATAGAGCTGGAGGCTCCAAGTTCTCAAATAGGCTGAAACTCACTTGAAGTTTCCATTGATGTTGCTCTGACCCTCGCTGCCAGGGGTGCCGAGAGCGTCTACTTTTATGCCAGTGTCGGTTTCGAAGCCGTACTTGAAGTGACCGTGCCTCGTTAAATTTTTCTCATTGGAGAGTCTGCGAGGTGCTTGGGTCCTGAGGGGGGCCAGAGCCCGACACCATGCAGGCCAGGAAGTCTACGGGGAGTCACCAAGACTTGCTTGAACATATTTACTGGGTAATAAGACAGATAAGGTTTTTTATAGAGAGACGAGAGAGAGGGAGAGAGAGAGAGAGGAGAGAGAGAAGAGAGAGAATGAGGGAAGAGAGAGAGAGAGAGGAGATATAGAGAGAAAGAGATGAGAGAGAGAGAGAGAGGAGAGAGAGAGAGGGGAGAGAGATGGAGAGAGGAGAGGAGAGGAGAGAGGAGAGAGAGAGAAGAGGGAGAGAGAGAGAGAGAGAGAGTAGAGAGAGACCTGAGAGCCTTTAAATCTTCACGCTAATTGATGAAAATTCTGGCAAGCTAATGCAAATGAAGATATCCTTAAATAAGACATACATATATACCAAGGAAAATGATCTGTGGTGCAGGATAAACTAAAACGGTGAGTTAGGCCCAAAAAAAAAGTGTTCTTTCTGTCAAAATAAGCAGAATGATTTTTTTTCATGAAATATGCAAAAATCAATCAGAATATAAGGGATTATACATATTATATATATATATATATATTTATATATATAATATATATAATATATATATTTTATATATATATATATTTATATATATATATATAAAGCATATCCATGTTGAGAGAAGAAGAGACATAATCACTTGACTCCTGTGAGTTTCTGTTCAACATAAAGTTATTTAAGTCATAAAAGAGCATCAGTGCTCAGGATTTGTCAAGGTTGATGAAATATCAACGCATTAAGATGTCAGGGAGATTGGATGCTGTTGTTGGGCTACTCACCAGCTTCATGTTGTCTGTAGAGGAGGTGGAGTTGTGTGTGGTGTTGAAGCCGCAACACCGGCTATATATACTCGAGTCCAAGAGGGTATTTCACAGCCCCTCTCCCCTCCAACCATGTCCCTCGACCATCCCCTGCCCCCTACGGTCCCTCCAACTTGGGTATGGAGGGCTCCCCTCTACAAGAATACCCTATCCAGCCCTCACCACCTCCCACACCACCTTAAAAGACTCGTCACCCCCGACCCATTATCTCTCTCACGCACACACACAGACACACACAGACACACACACACACACACAGACACAGACACACCACACACACACACACACACACACACACACACACACACACACACACCAACCACACACACACACACACACACACACACACACTAAGGGGGTCTAAGGGCACCGGGGATGTCTTAAGACGCATCTTCAGTTGCTAAGCAGGTTCGTCTTCGCGAATACCAAATTTTTTTTAGCTTGTTCTCCGATGATGTCATTCTCGGTGAATTGCAGAAGACCTTAAACAGATGAGAAACAAACAGCAGCACCGGGGAAATCAACACAGCGATCAAATGCCGTTTTGTATACGCGAATTAAAAAAGATTTTCCTGGGGTAGTGGTTACGAGCGGCCAGGTCAGAACTAGAGCCAAGGCCACACAGATTAACGACAGTTTTGGTACAACCAAGTCTCCTTCGACAACAACGCCAGCAACGGCTTGCACAAAAAGCTGCAGGAACAACAGTACAAACAGCATCAGAAGCAACCGCAGCAGCATTTACAGCATATAACACGCAGATACTGAAATACGTGTGGAGGTGTTACAGTATACTACCTGTAACACGGCATAAATAATGCACACTTAGCGCCATACTTTACACTGTAACGAGGTGTTACAGCATACTGCCTGTACCAGAACATAAACATGACACTTACTACCATACTCTACACTGTAACAATGTGTTACACCATGCTATGTGAACCAGGACTATCATCTACTACCATAACTATCATCTACTACTAAATCTAAATCTATGTCGACGAAATATATACAGACTGAATAGTTATAGAAAAACCTATAAGCAAATATATACAGACAATAGTTCTATTATATCTATATACTCCCTTTTGTTGACTAGGATAAAAAAAGTAATATATCTATCTATCTATTCGATTTTGTTGACTAACTCTGTTATTACTATTGTAGATATAATTATTATTATTAGTTAATAAATAATAATTTTGATAATAACAACTACAGCAGTAGTATTAGTAGTAGTAGCGGTAGTAGTAGTAGTAGTAGTAGCGGTAGTAGTAGTAGTAGTAGTAGTAGCGGTAGTAGTAGTAGTAGTAGTTAGTAGCGGTAGTAGTAGTAGTAGTAGTAGCGGTAGTAGTAGTAGTAGTAGTAGCGGTAGTAGTAGTAGTAGTAGTAGTAGCGGTAGTAGTAGTAGTAGTAGTAGTAGCGGTAGTAGTAGTAGTAGTAGTAGCGGTAGTAGTAGTAGTAGTAGTAGCGGTAGTAGTAGTAGTAGTAGTAGCGGTAGTAGTAGTAGTAGTAGTAGTAGCGGTAGTAGTAGTAGTAGTAGTAGCGGTAGTAGTAGTAGTAGTAGTAGCGGTATAGTAGTTTGTAGTAGTAGTAGCGGTAGTAGTAGTTAGTAGTAGTAGTGTAGTTAGTAGTAGTAGTAGTAGTGTAGTAGTAGTAGTAGCGGTAGTAGTAGTAGTAGTGTAGCGGTAGTAGTAGTAGGGAGTAGTAGCGGTAGTAGTAGTAGTAGTAGTTTGCGGTAGTAGTAGTAGTAGTAGTAGTAGTAGTAGTAGCGGTAGTAGTAGTAGTAGTAGCGGGTAGTAGTAGTTAGTAGTAGTAGCGGTTAGTAGTAGTAGGGAGTAGTAGTAAGTAGTAGCGGTAAATAGTTAGTAGTTTGTAGTGTAGTATTAGTTAGTAGTAGGCGTTAGTAGTAGTAGTAGTAGTAGCGGTAGTAGTAGTAGCGGTAGTAGTAGTAGTAGTAGCGGTAGTAGTTTGTAGTAGTAGTAGCGGTAGTTGTAGTAGTAGTAGTAGTAGTAGCGGTAGTAGTAGTAGTAGTAGTAGTAGCGGTAGTAGTAGTTTTGTAGTTTGTAGTAGGCGGTAGTAGTAGTAGTGTAGTAGTAGTAGTAGCGGTAGTAGTAGTAGTAGTTAGTAGTAGTTAGCGTTTGTAGTATTAGTAGTAGTAGCGGTAGTAGTAGTAGTAGTAGCGGTAGTAGTAGTAGTAGTAGTAGTAGTAGTATTAGTAGTAGTAGCGGTAGTAGTAGTAGTAGTAGTAGCGGTAGTAGTAGTAGTAGTAGTAGCGGTAGTAGTAGTAGTAGTTTGTAGCGGTAGTAGTAGTAAATAGTAGTAGCGGTAGTAGGGAGTAGTAGTAGTGTAGTTGTAGTAGTAGTTAGGGGAGTAGTAGTTAGTGTAGTAGCGGTAGTAGTAGTAGTAGTAGTAGTAGTAGCGGTAGTAGTAGTAGTAGTAGTAGTAGTAGTAGTAGTAGTAGTAGTAGCGGTAGTAGTAGTAGTAGTAGTAGCGGTAGTAGTAGTAGTAGTAGTAGTAGCGGTAGTGTAGTAGTAGTAGTAGTAGCGGTAGTAGTAGTAGTAGTAGTAGCGGTAGTAGTAGTAGTAGCGGTAGTAGTAGTAGTAGTAGTAGCGGTAGTAGTAGTAGTAGTAGTAGTAGTAGCGGTAGTAGTAGTAGTAGTAGTAGTAGTAGTAGTTAGTAGGTGGTAGTAGTAGTAGTAGTAGTAGTAGTAGCGGTAGTATAGTAGTAGTAGTAGTAGTAGTAGCGGTAGTAGTAATAGTAGTAGTTTTGTAGTAGCGGTAGTAGTAGTAGTAGTAGCGGTAGTGGGAGTGTAGTAGTAGTAGTAGTTAGTAGCGGTAGTAGTAGTAGTAGTAGTAGTAGTAGTAGTAGTAGTAGCGGTTAGTAGTAGTAGTAGTAGTAGTAGCGGTATGTAGATTAGTATGTAGTTTGTTAGTTAGTAGCGGTAGTAGTAGTAGTAGTAGTGCGGTAGTAGTAGTAGTAGTAGAGGTTAGTAGTTTAGTAGTAGTAGTAGCGTGTTAGTAGTAGTATAGTAGTAGCGGTAGTAGTTGTAGTAGTAGTAGTAGTAGTAGTTAGCGGTAGTAGTAGTAGTAGTAGTGTAGTAGCGGTTAGTAGTAAGTAGTGTAGTAGCGGTAGTAGTAGTAGTAGTCGTAGTTAGTAGTATAGCGGTAGTAGTAGTAGTAGTAGCGTAGTAGCGGTAGTAGTAGTATAGGTAGTAGTAGTAGTAGTAGTAGCGGTAGTAGTAGTAGTAGTAGGGTAGTAGTAGTAGTAGTAGCGGTTAGTAGTAGTAGTAGTAGTAGTAGGTAGTGAGTAGTAGGTGTAGTAGTAGTAGTAGTAGTAGTAGTAGTATAGTAGTAGATAGCGGTGTAGTTGTAGTAGTAAAGTAGTAGTAGGTAGTAGTAGTAGCTGTGTAGTAGTCGTAGTAGTAGTAGTAGTAGTAGTAGTAGTAGTAGCGGTAGTAGTAGTAGTAGTAGTAGTAGTAGTAGTAGTAGTAGCGGTAGTAGTAGTAGTAGTAGTAGTAGTAGTAGTAGTAGTAGTAGTAGTAGTAGTAGTAGTAGTAGTAGTAGTAGTAGTAGTAGTAGCGGTAGTAGTAGTAGTAGTAGTAGTAGTAGTAGTAGTACGGGTAGTAGTAGTAGTAGGGATGTAGTAGTAGTGGAGTAGTCGTAGTAGTGTAGTAGTAGTAGTAGTGTAGTAGCGGTAGTAGTAGTAGTAGGGTTTAGTAGTAGTAGTAGTAGCGGTAGTTAGTAGTAGTAGTGTAGTAGTAGTAGTAGTAGCGGTAGTAGTAGTAGTAGTAGTTAGTAGTAGCGGGTAGTGTAGTAGGTAGTAGTAGAGTAGTAGTAGCGTTAGTAGTATTGTAGTAGTAGCGGGATAGTAGTAGTAGTAGTAGCGGTAGTAGTAGTAGTACGTTAGTAGTGTAGTAGCGGTAGTAGTAGTTAGTAGTAAGAGTAGTAGTAGCGGTAGTAGTAGTAGTATGGTAGTAGTAGGTAGGTAGTAGTAGTGTAGTAGTAGTAGCGGTTGTAGTAGTAGTAGTAGTACGATAGGTAGTAGTAGAGTAGCGGTAGTAGTAGTAGTAGTAGTAGTAGTAGTAGCGGTAGTAGT